TTAGTTGAGAGTTAGCTGTTTAGTCTTTACTGAGGGGGTAAGACAACTGAATTCTCCCTCCTTCTTTCCTATTAGGTATAAATATTATACCTAAGACATGGATTTTTCTTGGGAGTATTCAAATAACAAACACATAGGGAAAACATAAATGGTTATTAAAAACCTTTCATTATCTCTTCTTGTTATCTTTCTGCTCATCAAGGGGACCTGAAGACCCAAGAGAATCTTATCCCCTGAGAGGCTAAATCAAGTTAAATCCCTACCTATCTAGCCATGTTAGTTTCCATTCCCTGGACCCCCACTACTTGGATTCTTGAATAGAAATGAACTGCAAATACAAACTAAATTGCTACAGTGTGGACAATCAAGTCAAACATGGACATTTCTGATAGAATCTCCACCCATACCATCAAAATAGACCAGGGAGCATGCATATCACATTAGAAAGGACATTTCTGAAGCCCTAAAGAGTCACTGTTATCCGATCATTTCAATTTACCCATAATCAGTGCTGAAAAGCCACATTAGAATTTTGAAAATATGACTGAAATTTGTGCAGTAGTAAGTCTAAAGTGGTCAGATGTCCTAATGATAGCTCTTAAGATCACTAGATATAAATAAAAGGCAAGGATTTTCCTTGAGTGATATAATAGTAAGACATGTTACTCCTCCAGAGACTGCCCACTGACTGTATATTCACGTTAGAGAATGTGGTGTTGAAAACATTAATGACGTGTACCAAGCCATGCATAGGTGGCAAAACTCTAAAATGCAACACAGAACAGCAACCCTTCATAGGCAGCCTAGTGTATGGTAATTAAACACCAGTGGCAGAGGCCATACTAAGTTCTACTTAGTACTAATTGTGAAACACAGGAATTATTGTTCTTTCACCCCGCTTGTGCTCAGGGATGTTGGTGGTAATCTACAGAAATATCTTGCTATTACAAGTTCCCTTCTAACCAGCTGGTGGGCTTCACACTTACCCACATGTTGACAAGGGATATGTCTTGAGCCCATAAAGGCATTTCCATTAAAGTGCTCTTTATTTTTTACCTTTCCTTTTGATTCTGTTGTCGAGTTTCATCTCACTGCTTATGTTACAATCTGTTCTTTTATATTGTCCACTATTTCCTCCAAAGCTCTTAATATATTAACCATAGTTGTTTTAAATTTCCTCTCTGATAACCATTGATTTATGTCGCATCTTACTACTTTTTTCTTATTACTTTGTCTCTTCAGACAGGTTTTATTTTTCCTTAACTTTTAATGTTTGTTTAAACTGGCCATGTTGTAGAAGGCAATAACTGATTGTCCACAAGGTAATAGGCTTCCATTGTGAGGATTTACGATAATCTGAATAGTAGTTTATAGCCTGCTGTATGTATAGGTGCCAGAAGCTTCAAATAGTGCTAGTGTTCTCTGGCTCATATCCTATTACTGTAGGCATCATAAGTATTCCTCAGAGTCTGTATCTTACAACTCGTTCAACTCTAAGTTATAATCTACTGAATTACTAAACAGGGGTCCTGTTGGTGTGGTGGCAAAGTTTGAGGGAGGAAGATAGTGAAGATGTGACCTTCAGAGCTGTTTCTCCATGTCTGCCCCCACTTCCCTGGGCCATTATCCTTGACCACAGCATTCCCAGTTTAATTTCTCATAGCTCTGACCTCTGTTGACTATGCTTTTCCCCCTTTGGATAAGACAAGACTGGAGGGGTCTCACTCTGGAGTGGGAGCAATGCCCTTCTCACAGTTGTTATAATACTCTTTTCCCTATAGTGGACTGTCTCTGTTATGGAGAAGGCTCTGAGATATCTCACAATGATTGTGTTGTCATTTTGGTTTTAGACCTGTGGTTGGTACTCTGTATGAATTGAAAGTTAAATCATAATAAGATTAATTGTGGTTCTTAATTTTGTGTATCAAATAAGGAATTCATAATGATGGCAGTGCAATTAAAATTAAGATAATAGCAGATAGAATAGTTTGAATTGTTTCTACTTCTTGTGCATCCATTCTACTTGTATGTGTTAACTTGGTTGTTAGTATTTGGGAAATATTATGCAGACACAAAATGAGTACAAATAAAACTGAGGAAATCTGAATCAGACCTGTGTATTATATTATTGTCAAAGTCCTAGTTAAAATATATGCACCAACTTTGCAGATAGTTACCAGTGGGGAAATTTCATGTGATTCTGTACTTATTTCAATACAATTTTCAATGTAAAAAACTGATATTTCCCTTCATTGTCACACTTAAAAATGTAAATGACTTTGAGCATAGTTTTTATTAATACATATTGTTATAATATTTTGACTCTTCCAGCACCTATAAACTCATCACATTGTACCTTGGGTTATAGATACTATGCTTGTTTTTCTTTCTCATCAGAAGATGACCTCTGTGAATGTGGAGATCATTCTTGTCTTTTCTTTTTATGTATCCATGGTTTATTGTGTGCCTTAACACTCAGTAAATATCCCATAGCATTTTGTGTGATTACTGAGTTAAGTTAATTAACTCACAAATGTGAATTAAAATTATTTAATTGTTATTTAAATTTACTGACCTCAAAAATTCAAGTTAAATAAAAAAAATGTGATGGTGCAAAGTATGGGAATGAATGAACTCAATGGCTTAGGAATTTTGGTCCAACTTGTCTTTAGTTTTCTTCTTTGCAAAATGAGTTGGGTTTATAGAATAGGTTATATCTGTCCATTTTATTGCAAAGAATACCAATAATTAAGCTCTTATACAGCTGACTATTCATAGTTCATATCATTTTCAGAGTATGATTTTTTTCCCTGGATAGTCTCACAGCTTACTTAGTGTAACAGATGACTGTGTAGCATGAAGGAATGGCTGTCTTGCTAAGTCTTATTTGTAAGGCAGCTTAAGTCTGGGGTATCTTTGGGCTCTTCAGTGCAAACAGCTGCTTCCAGTTTTCTCTTTTCAGAATCTGGCAATATTGACATTTACCACATTAAAGGAATACCTGTGGTATTTAAACAGAGTGTTTATTTTGAGAAAAATGGAAATTTTCAATATATGCATGTATTTGGATGATTGCTTGTAAGATTCATGGCCCAAACTCCCTACCCCTCAATGATGTCCATGGTTCATTTCATACTTTAAGTCAAACAAATATGAATTACAGACATGGCATAATTACACAAGAAGTATCTCCTAGGGTCAGTTTCTAAAAGTGGGAGATACTCTCAATATTTTTTGAAGGTATATATTTACCTTTAAGATTATTGCTTATTTTTGTGTATTTGTTATTTTTCATGTTTACTTACAAAAATAATTTTAAGATTGCTAAAAATAGAAGCTTTGCATTCAGCATAAAAGACCAGGAACTGTGTAAATATAGGGGCATAATCTAAGTAGTGGTATTAGCAAAGTGACCAACTGAATACAAATAGTACATAAGTAGATAAATATTTACTTTCAAAAATCTTGGAAGTCAAAGTAAAAAAAAATCAAACATTTTTCATTAGCTCATAAATGTGAATAAAGCTATACTTCATACAAAGCATTAATTTTTGGTGTAATATTTTCTAATATAAGCATTTCATCATATGAACACCATATAATATAATGGATTATCGATATTATAAGTGGACTTTTCAATATATTCAATTGAAGTTTTAAAAATGGAAAGGTAAGGCTTTCTGTAATGCTTTGATTTAAGTAGCAGAAAATAAAATATGAGTATTACACTGCACAGCAATTCTGGAAAAAATTATGTAGGGGATGAAAGTACATTACTTTTCTGAGGACTCACTTGATAGAACATAAAAAAGAAAAACAAGCCACTTTTACTCCTCTTGATTATTACCATTAAATGACTGCTGAACCTGGCATTTGGATAAGCATAGATTAGAAAAAACAGAAAAATTTATTAAAATTTCATTCGAAAATTAAGATTGAGTATAGAAAGTTTCCTTCAAAGTATAGTGCTCACATGGGTGGTTTAATTTAATTATACATTTTAAAATGACTTTCATATCTGACCTCTGTTGATTATTTACTCTGAGTGAACATAGACTCCTTCCTCAGCTTGAGCAGAGCCTTCTTCACCTCCTTGTTCCGCAGGGTGTACACCACAGGGTTGAGCAGGGGTGTTAGCACAGTGTAGAACACTGCCACGATCCCATCCACAGTATCCCTGGAACCAGGTCTTAGGTAAATAAAAACACAGGGAACAAAGAAACAAAGCACCACAATGCAGTGGGAGGCACAGGTCTGAAAGGCTTTGCGGCGCCCATCGGACGTGCGGATCTTCAGGATGGCGTAGACGATGTTCGCGTAGGACAGGACTATGAGGAAGAAGCAGCTGGATGCCACCACCCCAATGTTGACAAAGATCACCGTGTCATTGATGGAAGTGTCTGCGCAGGCCAGTTTGAGGATGGGCGGTGCGTCACAGAAGTAGTGCTGGATCTGGTTGGGCCCACAGTAGGGCAGGCGGAATGTCAGGATGGTCTGCACAGCAGAATGCAGAGAGCCAACAAGCCACGTGCCAGCGGCCAGCATGGCACACATTCTCCCGCTCATCAAGGTGGAATATCTGAGCGGGTAACTGATGGCCAGGTAGCGATCATAGGACATGACGGTGTAGAGGAAACACTCGGTGCTGCCCAGGAAGTGGAAGGAGTAGAGCTGGGCCACGCAGCTGTAGAAGGAGAGAGCTGCTCCTTCTGGGGAGACCAAGGTCATGAGCATTTTGGGCACAGTGACTGTGGAGAACCATGTGTCAATGAAGGACAGGTTGGCCAGGAAGTAGTACATGGGGGTGTGGAGGTGGGAGTCCAGCTTGATCACCAGCAGGATGAGGAGGTTCCCTACCACAGTGAGTACATACATCACCAAGAAGATTCCAAAGAGGGGCATGTCCAGAGCCGGTGCATGGGGAAGGCCAATGAGGATGAACGTGGTTATCAGGCTCATGTTTGTCATTTCTTCCCATGCATGGTACTCTGTCTTTACAGGAAGGAAAGCGAATTCAATACCATTAAGAAACTATTTCGTATGAAATGTGGCAAATGAATAACCTCTGATGGAGAATAGCCGAGTGAATTTACATAGCACTTTTGCTCAGCTTGGGACTTTGAAGAGGAACGGCTGTTTCCTTTTTACAGTACCAAAGTCAATCAAATAGAAAAAATCAACCGACTTCAAGAGGAGTAAATTCATACAAAATCAACCAAATAGGAGAGAGGGTAAATTTTATGTTATCTATAGAATTAACAAGATATTCCCAAACTAGCACCTTGTCAGAGTTGGAAAGCTCCCCCTGATTAAGCCTTTATTCATCTCTCTCTCCCTCTCTCTCTCCCTCCCTCTTTCCCTCCTTCTCTCTCTCACGCACAGACACACAGACATGCAGAAGCATAAACACACAGAGACCACACTTCCAAACATACAGATTCAGTCTCTTTGATCATCAGAGTATTTCTTCCAAGAATACAAATTTCTCCAAAGAAACATTCATTCTTGATGACTGAGCTGAGAGGAAACTGCCTTCTTAGAACTTTCTGGGCAGGAGCAGATGTGACAAGGCTGGACCCCAGCTGTGGTCTAGCATGGTGGGGAGCCAGGTCCCTTTCGTCTACCCTGGACCACATTCACCTGATCATTGGTGAAATCTGTCACCAAACCAGGGCAACCATGGTCAGACTACCGCCACTTTCCTCAAAATCTCTTATCTGATATGTGTGTCTACTTATAAATATTTTATTATATCTGCCTTGGGGACTCCAAGCCATCAATCATCCTTCTTCTAACGTGTGATCAAGTCATCTCACAATGTATCTTGAGATGCTCACGAAGAATTAGATACTCTTAAATAATAAAGAGGACTGTCTTTTATCTCTGGGGCTTCAGTTCTAGGGCTGAATATTTATATTTACTATAAAACAGATACAAATGCACTTTTAAAAATAAAGAAAAAGTTTGTAAAATGAAATCAATTTATTGTATCTAGGAGTTCTATTATTCTGGAGCTCAGTAACTTTTTAATTTCCTGATTTTATGCATGAACGGAATGTCTCTGTGAATATATATGCAGAGAGGAAAGAAGCCAAAGTTAAAGAAAAAAAACAAAACTCCGACCATTAATGCATTGTAACCCTCTCCCTCCTGACTACCCCCTCCTGCTCCCAGTTTCCACAAGGAAAAATGCTGAAGTTTTACCAGTTTTTGCTACTTACCAATTTCTCAACTGGGTTTTGAATGGCAGGATAAAATTCTAGATTTAAATAATCTCTCAGTCTTTGATGAGTAGGATGCTTCTTGTATAGATGAAACTACAAGAACAAAGTGTAGAAACAAACTTTTTAAATAATAGAGATTAAAATTGATTTGATATCTCAGGAGATCTTGTCTTGGCCCTTGAGTCCTTATGGGTGAGGATAATATTTCCATGTATAATAAATACTGAGGAATTTTTCCAAATGTCCTTGTTTAAGTTTGTTTTGCTTTTCATGCACTATCATTCCACAAAGGATCTCATTTAGTCAAAAATTAATTTCCAATAAATATCCATGACACTCAGGACTTGAAAATTGCAGTTTCCAAGTGATTTAGTTGTGTTGTATTTTGTTTTGTTGTTTCTCTGATTTCTTCTTCAAATTCAAAGATGGAAACTACTGGCTTTCATCCTCAAAGGGACAATTCTCCCAGGCGGTTCCTGTCTCTGATGAATCTTAATCACTTTCTGCTGATTATGGCCACTCAGGAAAAGGAGCTCCGGAGGTTTTTTTTTGCTCCAGGGAGTAGCAGAGAATTTCTCCTCCTAGATAAACATCTTACTAATTACACTTCCTCCCTCTGCGGTTGGTCAACTATGGGAGACCCTAGCCGAGAATAAAAGCTACCTTGTCTGATTCAAAGATATTTTTCTTTTCAGAGACTTCTGCCTTTGAAACTTCTACACTCTAATCTTAGAACATATTTGTAAAAGTTGATTTTTTTAAAGCTTGATTTAATATAACTAAGGAGAGGTGCAATATGCCTTTCTTCTAGAATAAATGTGTCTTAGTTATGTAAACAAGGAGGACACCTGGTGTGACAGAGTAGAAACCCAAAGTACTGTTGATATTTGGAAAATGAAAAAAAATGTTGCTTCACAAATACATTGCCAGTAGAACACTCTCCATAGGTTAGATTTTGAGAAATTAAAGCCTCCCAAATTAATATTTTTCCCAGTTAATCTATCACATTACCAAATTTTTAGACATCATCTATCCATTAAGGATAAGGGATATTTAATCAATGTGAAATCAAAATACTATCTTGAAGATACTTCAAGAATTATTTGCAACTTAAATCCAATTAATATATTTAGAAAATATTAGTATCTTTATAAGAACTTGAAACACTTTATGTAGTCCAGGTTTACTGCTTATAAAATTCTGCTGACTTTTGTTTTCCTAAATAGATCTTTATTTTCCCTTTATTTTTCAAGGCTTTTTTTGGCATATATATAGAAATCTAGGTGGACATTTTAATTTTAGTCTTTTAAATATGCTATTCTATTTCCTTCTGTGTTGCATAGTTTTGATGATAAATATGCTTTCTTTCTCATCTTTATTCTGTATCCAATATTTTTTAAATGTGGCTGCTTTTTAAGATATTTGTCTTTATCATGGTTTTCACCAATTTTATTAAAATGTATCTTATGTGGTTTTCTTTGTTTATCCAAACTGGGGTTTAAAGAAACATAGATTTGGGGCTCCCCGGTGGCGCAGCGGTTGAGCGCTGGGTTGCGAAGCTGCCCGCGGCCTCTGCGGCGCCGGTTCGATCCCCGGCTGCTCCCCGGCCACCAGAGGAGGGTCCCACATGGCGTGCAGACCTCTCCTGCCGCCCGCTGCTCCCCTCAGCAGTGTGCTTCGGTCCTTCTGCCTGCTCTGCTCCCCGCTCTGGCTCTGGTGAATTCTCTCACCCTCCCGCGCTTCTGACTGTGCCCAGTGCATGTATGGACAAAACAAACAGACAAACCAGCAAACAAATAAATAAAGCATGCCTCTATAAAAAAAAAAAAAATAAAGAAACATAGATTCTTGTGTCTTGAGGTTTTCTTTGTCATCAAAGTTGAGAATTTGTATCTATTTTTCTTTAAATATTTTTTCTATGTCTTCCTGCCCTTCTGCGGAGCCAGAAACATATATATATATATATATTATATATTGTATATATATAATATATATAATATATATTAATTTCAGTTATACATTTTTCTTATTTGGAGGTCCTATTACCTTTCTTGTATATCTTCATTTACCTCTTCATTACATTAATTTTTCCTTCAAATCATTGAGTATTATTGACACATTACAATAGCAGTTTTAAACATTTTGTTTCTTTTTTCTTTTAAAGATTTATTTATTTATACAAGAACCAGGGTACAGGCCAGATGTGCGGGAGGGTGAGGGGATTCACCAGAGACAGAGCAGGGAACAGAACAGGCAGACTAATGAAATACACTGCTGAGGGGAGCAGGCGGGTGAGACAGGAGAGGTCTACTGCACCACGCGGGTTTCTCCCTGACCGTCTGGGATTGAACCTGCCTGCAGAGGCAGGGACAGCTTCATAGTGCGGTGCTCAACCATCTGTGCCACCCGGGAGGCTCCATTTTGTTTCTTAATCTCATCATATCTGTTATTTCTGTTGACTAAGTTTTCTCTTGATTTTGAGTATTATTGGACTGCTTGTGGTTCTACATACCATATGTATTTTAGGACTTCTTTGCATATTTTGAATATGAGTCTTTAGTAGTTATACTTGCTATAAATAATGCCTCTGACTTTTTACTTTTTGTGTGTGTTTCTTTTTTACTCATAATATTAGTGTCAATTATAAATAAGCAAAACTATCAATGTTTCCCTTATGATTATTAGTTCCCCCAATTTAATTTGTAAAAGTTATATTATTAGCTTTACAAATTTGAGTTTATATTAAACCTGGATTGATTTTGTATAGCTTATGGAAAGAGGTTTTTTCCCTTATTGCTCCATTTGTCCAAGCAAAATTATTGAAAAAAGGTTCCCATGATGCCTTTGACTTTAATCAAATCATCCATTATTCAGGAGTAGTGTTCTTTTTTTTAAGATTTATTTATTTATTTATACAAGAACCAGGGTACAGGCCAAAAGTGCGGGAGGGTGAGAGGACTCACCAAAGACAGAGTGGGGAACAGAACAGGCAGACTGATGAAATACACTGCTGAGGGGAGCAGCGGGCGAGACAGGAGATTGCGCGCCATCTGGGACTGTCGCCGGCCAGCCAGGATCAAACGGGGACTGCAGAGGCTGCAGAAAGCTTCACAGTGCAGTGCTAAACTGCCTGCGCCACCAGGGGAGACCCTAGGAGTAGTGTTTTTATAACCTCTCTCCCATTCCATTTGTTTATTTGTCTACCACTACATCAATACCACATCATTTTAGTGTCACTAAAACAAAATAATTTGGAAGCATATTTAGCACTAGGAGTAACCAAAAAATGATATTAAAAAATAGTTCATTGTCATTGCTTATTACAGAGCTTTTAAAGTTTTTAAATATATTAACACAAAATGCTGGTTAAACATGCCCTCATAAGTACTGCTGCTAACAAAGTAAATAATCTTAAAAACCCATAATATTCATAATTTTATAGTATTTCTTAAAAAAAAGATTGATTTATTTATTTATGCATACAAGAACTGGGGTACAGGCCAGAGGTGTGTGTGTGGGGTGATGCCTTCAGAGTGCTGCGACGTAACCCCTTGCACCACTAAGGAGGCCCCATTTTTTAGTATTTCTATGTGAATCTATCTCTGATAAAATATCAAATATGGAAAAACTGTATGAATTAAGAGATTCATCATAGTGCATTGTATAGCTGCCTAGCTATAATATATCTGTTGTCTATGATATATATTTATTCTGGGAAATATTAGGAAATCTTAAAACTTATTCAGAAAAATGAAGATGGTTGAATAATGTAGGCATATCTACTCAGTGGAATAGATGCTATCATTAACTTTATATTTTAGAAGATTGAGTAATGATATGGAAAATATTTTTGATAAAATTGTAAAGGAAAAGGTGCAAAAGTACATATATGATATGATTATAACTAGCTAATAATATACCATGACCACATAATAGAGCAATTTGGGAAGAAAACACTAAAATATTGTTAACATTGGTAATGTTAAGGTAGAAGATATACAGTATTT